GGTGAACACAGATGAACACAGACAAGCTGCGCTGCTCAGTCATGTTGAGCTTCTTTATTTATACATTTTACCAGCACAGTGAACTGTTTGCAAGCTTTCAAGGATGTGATTGAAGTTCTACAATTAGAGATAAGAACTTTAGTGTAGTTGTTTTTCAACCTAGTTACTGTCATGTGTGATCCTGTTACGTGTCATAGGTCAAGCCAGTTTACTTATGCTATTTCTCTGCAACTCCGAGGAAGGCTGTCTGAGTATGCATCAAAGAGGATAAGCCATAAGCATTACATACAACAGGCATTGCATGACCTAGTCAGGGTCAGGATGTTTCCCATGCCCTACAGATCTTATCCATGGAGCCCATGGTAGTTAAGGCATGTGTCAGCTGGTTCCAGTGAGTAATTAATGAGGCATACTGGTAACTGCCTCCTGTATCTAGGCTGCATACCCTCACATGAGAGGTTTTCAAGAAGTTCATAGAATATACATGTTATGTGAAAACTGCATTGGTTTCAATTTTTTGGCACCAGAATAAATTTGTACTTGAATTCCATTTTCCATTAACTTTTTGAAGTCTCTTTGTATGAGTTTTTGTTAATTGTTTTGTGACATAATATTGGGATGCTTTGAACAATTTGATTGTATAATTAATTTTTTTAAATAATCCTGATCTATATTAAACTTTCCTATTAGATTTATGTTGGCTAGTCAATGATAGGTTTTTATTGATTTCTCATGTCATATTCCTAACAGTCTTATTCTCTGAATAAGACTGAATACTTATTCCAAAGTTTCAATGAGAATTTTGGGGGGCTTTAATAAAAATATGTAATCTTAGGATTCATGGAATTTTTTTTCCAATTAAGCATAATTTAAAGTTTAAAAAAAATTTTTTTCTCAGAAAATGGGTCTTACCTGGGCTCTAAATTCTAAACTATGGGAGAGAAAAATGTAATTGTTACCAGGTTTTAGATTCTTTGCCAAATATGCAGGAAAGCAATTAAAATTCCATTCTTCAGTTTGTCATCTTTGCGGCTAAACTTTATAAGGAATTTTACGTTGTGTTTGTTTAGGTTAACTCTTTTATTTTACCTACAGGAAGAAACATGGTACTTCCTATATTTATATAATGATAATATGAGCTATTTATTGAACATTTGTGTGCTGAACTTTTTGTGTACATTTCATTGGGAGTGATTGTTTGAAGTCAATCTTATTTTTTCCTCCTATTCCATACTGTTTGGTAGAAAACTTTTGTTGAACTATAAGTTTATTATTCATTTGCTAACTTAAATTTTAAAAAAGTATAATTGATTAAGTCTTAGGTTAGGGACCAGCAGTTAGCGTAATGGCTATGTCGCTGGACTCCCACGTAGCTGACCGCAGTTTGAGTCCCAGACCCGGTGGCTTAAACTCACACTGGGCACATATGCGTGCGTGCCCAAGATTCCAAGAGGAGAATGGAGGAGAGGGGATTGCAGCATGGCCATCCCTCCTGAGGGGTGATTTCTCACTTTCTATCTCTCTGTCTCTCTCTGTCTGTCTGGTGAGTGCACACACCCTATAGCAAAAACCTCTCCAAAAAAGAGAAAACAAAAGTCTTAGGTTAAAGAAAGAAGTAAATTCAAGAATAGCCTACTAGACTGGTAATAAATAGAAATATTGACTTAAAGTCAATTTAGCAGATTGAAAAGCAACTAAAAGGGCCAGCCTATGGTGTGATGGTTAAGGTTATTGGCTCCCACATTTTCAACCCCTCAACTGAGTCCTGGACTAGAAGGCTCAAAAAACATGCGAGGAGGGGCTACCAGGTGGTGTGGTGGTTGAGGCACTAGACTCCGTATGGCTGACCAAGGTGCAGGTCCTAGACCTGGAGGTCCAAAAATCACGGCAAGTTAATAGATAACTAAATAAATAAATGTTTAAAAAGTATATATTTAAAAAATAAAAATGCCAGGTGCATGAGTGCCCAAAAGGAGGAAGAGGCAGAGGAGAAAGGATTACCATGAAACTATTCCCTGAGGTAGGTGCTTTCTCTCTCTCTCTCTCTCT